GCTAACATACAAACCAAATTCAAAGCATTTTTGAAAGGGGGCTTTCAGACTGTTTATAAACCTACGCCCCTCATCATCTTCTTGTTTAACACCTCCGTGGTTTTAAAAGGCTGACTGTTCAGGTCAGGCGCAGTCAGCAGTCGCTCGTCCACCCTTGACAGCAGACAGCAGTAAAACATCAGGATCCACTCAACCAGGTGAGGGACTTGCCACCTTACCTTTAATACAATTGGTTTGTATAATTATTTGTGTTTTGATCTTGTTTTTAATTTTTCAATTTCCTTTTTGTTTCAGTTTTTTTAGATTTATTTGGTTTAAAAATTGTTCGTTTAGAGTTTAGTTTTATTAGTTTCAGTGTTATTGTTATGGTGATTATGGATTATTATTATTATTATTATTATTATTATTACATGGGAGTGTTTTTGTAAGGGAGAAAAATATTACAATACGAAAACACATTGACTTCAACAGTCATGTGAGTCTCTAAACATCTGTCAGTTATAACACACATGTTCCAACACTCTCCTCGTGTGGTTATTGTCGACTAAGACCAAAAGACATTTACACTGTATAGTTTTGTTATCATTTTATTTGTTTTTTTAAAGTATTAGAATGTTTTTTTTTCTAAATCTATAAAATAAAATAGTTTTTATTTTTATTTCAGTTATGGGAAATAAAAAATATTTCTTCACTATTTATGTTGGTTACTTGTAATAACATTGAATTGCAACTTGCTGAAAAGATCTAAACTGCATGGCGGTAAGAAGCTGCGTTCCCAACCGCCATGAAATACAATAAATATCTACTTGGAGGAAAAAATCTGTAAAATTACCGTTCATAATGAATATAATTTATTAATTGAGATTAAATTAGTTAATAAAGCAAATGCTCTTTAAGAAGGAAATGTGTATTACAATGGCGTTTCAGTGGAACAAAATAAAGCCTGCAGGCACAGGTTATTTATAAGCAAGCAGACTCTTGCCCAAAATTGGGCTTAAGATCTAAGAGGGGTTCTTCACATATTCCACTCAGGACTATTGTGAAATTTACACATTTCACTATCTTAACAGAGGGAAGGCTGCCAATATAGTATATTCAACTTTCATGTACAATTGAAATACAAATCAAATTAACACCTGAGGTTTATCTGTTGCACTGTACATGAGAATATCTGCTGAAAGGAAAATGGATAGCTGAGCTGCTCCAAGCCTAGTAGAGGATATCATAGAAGCAGCAAATTTCCTCCGGTTAATCGCCACGCATTCCTCAACGCTCTAGATTATTACCCTCAAAGAAAAAAGCGGTAGCATATCACTCACAAACTGCCAAGCCGACGAAAATTGGGTCTCAGATGACATAAAGAGTGGGAGTGATCAACCGTTTGGCGTTTGCGAGATGAGTGCCTCAAATAAATACAACTACACAACAAATAAATGAACATATAAATTAAAAATCTCAATTTCTGGTGTTGTATACGTGTAACGAGACGGTGTTCGAACAAAATAGGACACCCTCACCCAAGCGACATAATATAAATACTCTCTAATAATGGAAACAATATGAACAAAATGCTCAACGTCGTTGACTCGTACAAGAACAGACACAAAAGGCACAGTGAAACTGATCGCTGCAATTGTCAGGAGTAAAACATATGAAAACACGCTGTATTAGAATTCACACAACAAGTGCGCACTGAGTAGAATGTCACAACCACAACTCACATACAATTGTCCAATAACCAAAAACAAGACACTGTTGAATATGTTTTTCTAGACATATCAAATAACAGATATCTAAATTAACAATAAACACATCATTCCACGAAACCAACTATTAAAAAAAAATGATAACCTTTCTTGCAACCGGCCAGTACAATCCCTTAAGACGAAATACCAACATAAAGATGAACTGCCAAATGATGAATTGCGACAAAAAAAAAAACCTATGGGTCGGATGTGTGAAAACGCACAACCAAGGAACGGCCCAATAAGCGCAAGTATCACGTGTGTACTACTGTCAAGGAACGCCCAAAGCCGAGAAGCGGTCGCGCAACAATCCTGACACTGACTGCACTACAGATGGTGGCCACTAGCTACGCCGCTCCCCTGCAAACGATACCGAGCTGTGTTGGCTCGAAGGCAGAACGATATGAAGATCCAAATGACTCCATATGACGGGAAAACATGGTAATGGCATATTCGAAGAGAGGTGAAGCGATGCATGAAATACAAACAATGTGTGGCTTGTGTATGATTTTATTAGAAAGTCACTTATTCTGCTTTAAAAAAGTCTGTTGTCAATGAGGCGTATTACCCATTGTAAATGCAGCCGTTTTCTTGAATCTTATTTTTTGAATAAGCATGCTTTTATTTTAATTAGTAACAACGAGGAACTAGCGCTTGTTAGGCTCCGTAACCTTCACAGCGAACCGAGTGCAGCCTGTAGCGGTGGACTGTCTCCGCTCGTTTTTGTTATCACTCCATGCTCGTGAACTGTGTGAATGACGTTTATTGAAGGTTTTTTGATAAAATGTGTTTTTGACCTGAAAACTCTAGTGTAATGACTCTGCCGTTTTGATAGCACTAAATTTCTACTGTTCGTGTGGAAATCAAACATCTGTGAAAAGAACCGGAGTCTTGCCATCCAATCCAGATGCGGCGCATACACATCGTCACGGCCATGAGATACCTGCTGGGCGACGTTACGTGCCAGGCCTTGAGTCACTTTGTGCCTTCG